GTCCATGTATTTTCTTTACATTGTAGCTACATTGTAAAAAATATTTTTTGAAGTTGTAAATAAAACAAAGATTACTTCAGTACTTCAAAATTTCACATTTAATTCAATGTGTTACTTGTTGCTTTAATTGTTTGTTAAATTTACCAGCAATTTCTGAGTAAAAATAGTTTCAAAGTAAATCCTATACCTTTTCAGTGTTGTGAGAAAAGACTTGTTCTTGGTTAGAAAAGACTCTGTAATGGCCAAAGGCCACAAAACACCAAAAAGTACAAAACAACATGATGAACATCTGTTAGCCGAGCAGAATGCAAAGCTGCTTCTTTGGCTCTGAGTTACTGGTACGTCCACCACTCCCCAATGATGTGACTGAACTTGAAAGCCAATGAACAACAAAATTCATTGTTATTTGTTTACGTTCCTTTCCTCATCAAACATGCATCCTGGAGAGATGTTACAACTCCAGATTTCAGACCTCAGCCTGCTCCCTCTAGGATGCCAATTATAAATAAACTTTATAGAGAGTGAAAGACGAAACACAGCTAAATGAACATGTGCATAGACTAGGAGCAATGGACATGTTTTGGGTGTTCACACTATACATTTTACTTACTACATTTTTACATCTAGTGATCTACACTGCTGTGCAATTGTTTGAGGATTTTCCACACACTGGCTATTTTAGATCAGCTGAAACTAGACCAGACTTTATGTCAAAAAGACTGTCAGTGCAAGACTGTATTGCACTGAATGACAAAGCTTTCCAGTAGTGCCCTGAGTCAGAGACAGACACTCAAAACAAATGAAATACCTAAAGCAGAAGTGACAAATCACTATACTATACAAACGACACTATAAACTATACAAAAATACAAAGAGGAACATAGCGCATCAGCCTGAAGAAAAAATAAATAAATAAAATAGAAGCAGAGTTATTATAGTTAACTAAAACGAAAACAGAAACTAAAATTAAAACTGCAAAATAAAACATTTTCGTTACTGGAAATAAAATAAATGTTAACCAAAAAAAAATAAAAAATACAAATCATTTTATTTTAACATTTCTCATTCTTATGTACTAAAATAACTAAA